CCACTGGGCGGGCCTTGTGTTTGACACATATGATTTACAGTCTATTGCAGCATGGTTTGACAGGTCATGTCTTACATTGAATATAAAAAAAACTCTGTTTGCTTTTCTACGAAAGCTTGACTCTGTAAAGATGGCACCGATTTGGCTTTAAACTTGAGAATTAATGATCAAAAAATTGAGCAGTTTTCAGAAGTGAAATATTTGGGTTATATTTTAGATTCTCATTTAAAATTTGAAAACCATATTAAGATGGTGATTAGAATAGCAAAAGCAAATTTACATACATTTAGACTAATTAGAAACTGTTTACCATTTCATGCTGCCAATAGTTTTATGCACATAATGGGCCTCATGCAAGAACATGTTCGTATTCTTATCCTAAATTTCTCTTACTTTTGTTCGTACAAAGGGTTCGTACGAACATGTCACATCAGATTCAACAAACTCTTCTGTCTTCAGGAAAAGTGTGTAAATGAGCTGCGTAATTTACACCCGTTCTATCCAGCTGCTCGTGCACGCGAGAGGAGATTAGCATAATTTCCAGCCCAAAAACACCGTATAAGGCTGTGTTTCCTGCCTCAGATACAAGGAAGTGTCCATTCATGAAAAAATGACAGCGAAAACTAAAAAGAAGAACTTTACAAGTTCAGAGATTGAAGTCGTCAGAGATCCAGAAAAGAAAATCTGTCATTTTTAGCAGGTCAGCTGTGGAATAAAAAAGAGCTGCTAAATGTATAAACAACTGTGTTAAATCATTTTCATCTATTCAGAAGCCGCAGCGCTGCGCACCGTACCCTTCCGCCCCCAGCGCGCTGCGCGGTCGCAGGTGGTCTCAGATGCGGGTTTGAAATAAGTATTTTAAAATGTTTTCAAAATAAGTCTGACACTTTGGAGAAAACCCAGAACTCGCTGGAGGGATTATGTATCCCCTCTGGTCTGGGAACATCTCGGAGTCCCCCAGGACGAGCTGGAAAGTGTCGCTGGGGAGAGCTCGAGGTCTTTCTCCTGCTGCCCCTGCACCCGATAGCAGGTAAGCCGGCCGGACGGACAATTTATATTGTTAGTCTAAATTATTACATTTAAAATTATAACTAATTCAAGCAGAATAACTTATTGTCAACATAATTATGGAGTGTGATTTATTTTCAACTCAAAATATCTTCAAACTAACTAAATATAAAGTTATTAGGGAGGAAAACCCGTCTGGATAACAGCAGACTGACTGTTCGTAAAATATACGACAGGTCTGGACCACTCGCAAGTTTTGTTCGTATCTGAAGAAAATCTTAGAATACGAAAACATTGGTGAATGTCACAAATTCTCCTAAACCACTCGTACGCACAACTTAAGAACAAATCTGTGCGTACGAATGGTTCTTGCGTGGGGCCCAATGATCTTTTCACATTTAAGTTAACCTCTTGGTCTCAAGCTGCAACCACAACTGTCAAGCCTTTGAGAATGATTTACAAAAGAGCAGTTAAGATCTTGGACAGGAAACCCATCAGAGCACATCACTGTCATATTCTTAAAAAAATTAACATCATGAATTTTAAAAATTTTGTTAAAATTTTTAACTTAAAACTTGTTTTTAAATGTTTGAATGGACAGGCTCCTCAAGTGAGCTTTTGGTTCCTCCTACAAGTCTCAGTAACTCGTGGAGCAAATTGTGGGAACTGTAAAGTTCCTTTTTTTTAAACGGCCATGGGTCAAACAGCTTTTTCTGTTAGAGGTATTTACATGTGGAATTCTCTACCTACTGATTTAAAACTGATGTCTGACTGGAATCATTTTAGATTAGAACTGAAGCATTTCTTGAAGGAAAGCCAGCTTTGTTGTCATGAATAACTGAACTGTCACTTTTTAATGTTTTGTTTTGAAGTTGGTTTTGTGAGTTTTAATATTGTGATGTTTTTATTTGTTAACTGTATTTTATAATTTTATTTAATGTTGCTAAAAGCCCATCTAGGGACGGGCTTTGCAAATTAGCTCTGGCTATAAATGTTGTAGTGTATAGTATTGTTAATACTTGACAGCGTCCTTGAGTGAGAAACTGAACCCCAGATGTGCTCGTGTTGTTGACTTGTTTACATCAGATGAAAACCAAAAAACTTAAGAAACTGCATTTTCTGCAAAAATCCATGTGAATGCTATGTCCTGATTGATTTAGCTGAAATTAGCTGAAGAAACTAAAACTAAGAGAAGCAGAATACCATTTAAAATCTAACAGTAGCAAAACACTAGCCAAAAGCTAAATAAAGAAAAGGGCTTGGTAAAAGCTACTGCAAATTTTAGCCATGAGCTACTTAAAAGGTAAAAGTTGCAAAATGGTAGCCAAAAGTAGTGAAAGGTTAGCTAAAAAGAAGCAAAAGACAAACTAAAAGTAGCAAAAGCTAGAAGCTAAAAGTAGCTAAAGGCTAGAATATAAAGACAAAAATGTAGCACATTAAAAGCAGATTTAAATGACAAGATTTTTATGAACTTGATAAGATCTAAATGTATTTTTATAAAGAAAATATTTATAAATAAAGTCAAAGATTTTGAAAACTATGAAATTTTCCTAAACCAATAGTGCTAGCAGCATTCTTCTGATTGAGCTGAACATTTTAGCACAAAGTAAACGTAAATAGATTGTAAACAAAATAAAAACAAGAAAACAACCGTGTGAATAAAGCATTCACACCAAAGGTTGTCCAGGTGACAATGCAAGCATTGCAGAAATTTCATCATGTGTCCGTTGGAGTAAGTGTTCACATTTAATCCTCTGTGATTGCAGGATATCTTTCCAGTTCGAGATGAGCTATTGTCAGATCTCTCTGATGATGATATACATTCAGCCAAGGTGCCAGAACCACTGAAGCCCACTGTGATCTCTTTCAAGCCCAAGGATGATACTGACCTGTTTGGTCTTGGAATCCAAGAAGGGCCTCCTGCCACCAAGGACAGCAGCGAGGACCAGGAAGGCAAGTGATACATATGTTTCTATCACCTAGGGCGGGGCGGTATGACCTCAAATTCATATCATGTTATAAATTGAATCCCTTCACGGTAGAAAATTATCATAAAAAGCAAAGATAATGTAATTTTTAGAGTATTCCCAAATCTGTCTCTTATACACTTTTCAGTACACTGTAAGGATTTTAAAAAGTTTAAAATATCTGAATATATAAAAGGCATTTCCTCCCAGTGAGAGGAGAGGTTGCAGAAACACTTCAAAATTACAGGGGCTCGGGAGGACTGGGACGTCTGGAGATGACCTACGGGCATAATGTTGATCTTAAAGGTGTCTAAAACTGTTTTTTTAGAAAGAGAAAATTGAAATCAACATACAGCTGTCTCCAGGCTTTTATACCGAACATAGCCCATATAGAGAAATGTTCTCCAATAAGGAGGGAAGAAAATTCAGATTTCCTACAAGCAGTGTACAATAGTGTGTTTGTATGCCAAAATAATGACTACCGGTAATTTTAATGCTGACTGATGCATATACTGTTGTCCTTTTTTAGAGAAAGAAAGCAAACACTCCTCCAAAGAGAAGAAGAAAAAAAAGAAGAAAAGCAAAGAGGTAAACTATTGTTCTGCATTTGGGCTGGTAATAGTCTCTGAGTCAGTTCTCTCCACACATTCAGCTGTACTTGATGTTGACTATGTGAGCAGCTGTGAATATCATCACCATTTATCTCACAATATTTTAATGAAGTGACAAACTCTGCACACATGCATTCTTACCACTGACAGACCGCGTGTGTCAATGTACATCTGTGTGTGGTTTTAAACAAACCAGCAGTAGATAAGATGAGGGAAAATATCATTTATCAGTTTGTTGAACATGTAGTGTGATAAAGGGCTGTTTCAGGCTTTGTACTCATGAGGGTTCAATGAATGCATCAGTATCATATGGATTAGTTGACCTTTAGAAAATCATGTTTTACAAACTTTTCAGAGCTGGATGGTTGGGTGAATATAACAACCAGTAATTGGAGTTCACCAGGCAGTAGATTTTCTTTTAAGGTCAATATTTTCTGCTTTATCTTAACTAGTGGAATTTTTCCTTTCAATAGTTTTGACATGAGTGTATGAATCAAACCCAAACACCTTGTAATACACACTGTTTGAGTGTTTGACAAATTTTCTGAATATTAAAACATTTACCTAATAAAAAATCAATCAGGAATATATCCAGTGTTCATAATGCAACTTAAAAACCGTTTTAGATAACAATAAATGGAGTAATGACCAGACACTATGTAATCTCAAATATTTACAATGATTTAAGGTGGCTGTGGCAGAGTGGTTAGGGGAGTCGTCCTGGAACTGGAAGGTCGTCGGTTCGATCCCCCGGCCAGCTATCTCAATTGTTGTGTCCTTCACCCCTAATGCCTCTGATGTGTGTCCCATCAGTGTATGAATGTGATTGGCACTGATTAGTCTCCATAGATGATTGTATACAGTATGTTAGCTTTGTAGAGACCTAATAGCAAGGCCGGATTAACCATATGGGCAATTGGGCAATTGCCCAGGGGCCCACGGTC